TGGAGGTACTGGAGCTGCCGGGACTAGTGAAGCTCGTCCTGGAGACGTTGACGTTGGAGATACTGGAGCCGGGGGCGTTGGATCTGGAGGAGCTGGCGCTGGGGACCCTGGTGTTGGCGGAGTTGGAGCTGGAGTCGTTGGAGCTGGAGGTCCTGGTGCTGGCGGCGCTGGAGCTGGAGGTGCTTGTGCTGGGGACACTGGCGGTACTGCTGCTGGAGGCGCTGCACAGTCGCGACTGTTCTTCACTCCGCCGTCGCCGTCGTCTCTCCCGCCGCCTGACTCTGTGCTTGGTCAGGTTCTTTCCCTTCCGTCTTCTACTGGTCTCCCGTTACAGCCCGGCTCTGCACTCCCTGCTCCTTCTCCTTACACTGAGCAGTCAAACTCGCTTACAGAGCGTCGTGCGCCGGCGTCGCGTCCTGCCTCCCCTGTTCGCACTGTCCACCGTGCTCGTCGTGTCCCGCGTCCGCGTCCTCCTCCTGTGCCTGGTACTCACACTATGGCACTTCGTCCCTCCTCTGCTCCACAGCGCGTCCCGCTGCCGTCTCCTCCTGCGTCCTCTCTTCTTGAGCCTCCTGACCCTGAGTCTGACCGTGTTCGTGCTGCTAGCCCCACAGTCACGCGTCTTCTGGCTACTGTTGTCACTGACCCGTCGTTTGAGTCCACTGCTGCGTCTGCCCTAGTTGCTGAGCTTGTCGACTTTGCTGCTGCGTGTCGTCTAGACTACGCCACCAGTCTTGTTGCTGAGTCTGAGTCTGACTCTGTCTGTCCTCCGTCCGTCGGGGGTAAGTGTGCTCTTGGCACGGACGTCTTTGAGGACAGGCAGGAGGACTTTGAGTCTCTTGCGGCTGCTGTACCTCATCTCGTGGCCTGGCTGCTTGCACCTGAGGGAGACCCGGATGCACTGGACATCCCGACCCCGCGCTCTTACGCAGAGGCGATCTCGGGTCCCTACTCCTCTCAGTGGCAGACAGCCATGGACGCTGAGATGGCATCCTGGAAGTCCACAGGCACCTACGTCGACGAGGTTCCCCCTCCTTGGGCGAACATAGTCGATGGCATGTAGATTTTCAGGGTGAAGCGGCCGCCGGGTTCTCCGCCTATCTTCAAAACTCGTTACGTTGCACGAGGCTTCAATCAGCGACAGGGAGTTGACTTCTTCCAGACCTTCTCTCCTACCCCGAAGATGACCACTCTTCGGGTGCTGCTGCACGTTGCCGCTCAGCGTGACTACGAGCTTCACTCTCTTGACTTCAACACAGCGTTCTTGCAGGGCAGCCTGCACGAGGAGATCTGGATGCGCCGCCCACCTGGCTTCACTGGATCGTTTCCTCCTGGTACCCAGTGGAGCCTCCGGTGGCCAGTCTACGGTCTCCGCCAGGCGCCTCGTTTGTGGCACGACACACTGAGGACCACACTTGCGGCTCTTGGGTTTGCTCCCTCCACTGCTGACCCGTCGCTGTTTCTGCGAACCTACACTTCGCTGCTGCCGTTCTTCATCCTCGTGTACGTCGACGACTTGGTCTTTGCCACTGCTGACACTGAGGCACTTGCCCTTGTGAAGTCGGAGCTGCAGAAGAGACACACGTGCACAGACCTGGGTGAGCTGCGCAGCTACCTTGGCTTGCAGATCACCCGGGACAGAGCACGCCGCACCAATACCCAGACTTAGTCACACATGGTGTAGCAGGTGCTTCAACGCTTCGGCTTCCAGTTCTCCTCACCACAGTCCACTCCTCTGTCTACCGGTCACTCGCTCTCAGCTCCACCTTCGGACGAGTCCGTAGAGCCGAGTGGCCCGTACCCAGAGCTTGTGGGCTGCCTCATGTACCTGATGACCTGCACTCAACCTGACCTTGCGTACCCTCTTAGCATCCTAGCTCGCTACGTTGCGCCTGGGAGACACCGGCGAGAGCACTGGGAGGCTGCTAAGAGGGTGCTGCGCTACTTGTGCAGTACATCAGGCATGGGGCTGGTGCTAAGAGGACGGGGTGACATTGTCCTCACTGGACACTCAGACGCCTCTTGGGTTGACGACCTGGCTACACAGCGGTCGTCACAGGGTTACACCTTCAGTCTTGGTTCTGGCTCTGTCTCTTGGCGGTCCACTCACTCATCTTCTGTTCTCAGCTCCAGTTGTGAGGCTGAGATCTACGCCACAGCCATGGCTGCACAGGAGCTTCGCTGGCTCACCTACTTGCTGACTGACTTGGGAGAGCGGCCTCGTTCTCCTCCAGTTCTGTACGGCGACAACAAGGCGGCCCTCGCCTTGTGTCAGGAGCATAGACCGGAGCACATCGCTCTACGTTACTTCCTTGCTCGAGAGCTGCAGCAGCGTGGCCAGCTTCGTCTTGCTTACGTGGACACGCGGGCCAACACAGCTGATATATTCACCAAGGCACTTCCGCCTAGTGATCATCAGCGTCAGTACACTGCTCTAGGCCTCGTGCCTACGTTCTCTCACTTGCTTACTGCTTGACCTTGCTTGTACTGTGATCTATATATATCTATCTTTACATGCTTATCTTTGCTAGGTTGTGATCATTGTACTGCTTGCTCTGTTCTATATACCTCTGCATGTGAACTGGCCTTGTGGCCCCTTGCTTGTGCTCAGAGTGTGTGGTGACGTTGTAATCCACCCTGAGCTTGCTTTACTTCTCTTGACTGGTCTTGTGACCCCTTGTTCTCTCCCACTTTGCCTATGGGGGTGTGTCAAACTATATCTGTGCTAGTTCTGTGTAGGCTATAGTGGGGTAGCCCATATGGGGTACAACCAAATTAGGGTTAACTACTTGTACCCATGTTCCATTCAATGCAACCCATTCCTGCTAGTTCTCTTGACAGAATTGCTCTTAACAATGAGTGATCGCCGTTAAAATGGAACACTCGCAAGTCAAAGAGTTTCTCCAATTGGAATCGGACGTTTAGAAGGGGAACTGAAGATGCAATGCGCTAGAAAGGCATAGTGCCGACGTAGCGGAAGCCTTGATTGTAGAATAGAATAGCAAGAGAACCTTGCAACTGAATGGATTGAGAACAATGGATTGATTATGAAAGCACACAGCAGGGTCTTTATCCATGCAGCTACCCTGCCAAAGTCTAGCCATCCCCACCAATAATTGTACCACCAATAATGGTAGCTCCAACCAAGGAGTAGCAATAACTCTACCCCCAAACCTCTAGACTCCAATAATGCAGCTCCTACAATAATTGTACAATTATTGTAGGGCCTAGAGGCTTATATGGAGGATTACACTAAAACCTGACAGCACCTATATTTTCTTATGCCTTATATTTCCAACACTCCCCCTTGCTGTAGGTTTTGGTGAGGCTGATTTTTGTGGAGGATGGGAGGATAAGGTGGTGTACCACAGGCACACACTTACCCTAGGGTTTGAAGCTGCAAACGCGTTGATTCCGCTGAGTGCGGAACTGTAGCACTTTTTCCGCACGTTCCTTGTTTCGTGTTGCCCGAACCTCCCCTCAGGTGGAGTTTCAGCTCCTGTTGCACGTCCTTCCAGCCAACCCCCGATTCTCCCCTCGCAGGTCGAGGGCTGCTTTTCCCCCTCACATCGAGTTGCGCTGCTCCTTGTCCAATGCTGCTTCTTCTCGTCACTCTCCATCTCATCCGTAGCATTAGCAGCTCTTTTCAGATCCAGTTTCCTGAGCACCGTTAAAACGAGGGTCTAGATTTGACAAGCGGAGGTTCAGAAGTTTTTGTTCTGAACCAGGCTTGCCAGCGCGAAGGTGTTGGCTGGCGAAAATCTGGAATTCGTGCGGGGAATTTTCCTCCGCAGTAACTGGTCGCCAGGGTTTCGGGGTTCGGGTGGCAAATGTGCACCGTCGCTTTAACTCCATTCATGGCTACCGCAGCCTTAGCACGGTGAAACTTTGCTTCAGAAAGTCGAAGTGTAGAACCTTCATGGCGTGCTGCAGCAGTAAATCACCGTTAGCTTCTCACGCCACCTTCTGTAGCCATCGCACGTCTTAAGCAGGAAAGTGCGCTGCTGCTGCTGATGGCGCATGTCTTTAGTAACTGCATACTGGCGCGAAGAGTGCTGCTGTACATCGCGCGACCTAAGCAGCATCGCGCGTTGCTATTCGCGACCTTCCTGCAACGACTCCGCGACTTCTGCCGCTAACGCGCGGCTTGTTCAGGTCCTGACTCGCCTGCAGTTTGTGATGTGAAATTTCCTTCAGTTGCGTAACTTCTGCAGCATAGCGTGCGACTGCTGCAGCATGGCGTAACGATGCTCTGTAGCAGCTGACGACTGATAGCGTGGGTGTATTTCCTGTCGCGCGGCTGCTTCTCCTGGTGACACTCACTCCTGCAGTGGCAGCTGGCGACGGCAGTATCACCTGCTGGCTCTCATCTGCAGCAGTGGCGGTTTGATTTACGCATGACTGCACCTCCCGGTGGCGCACTGTTTCAACGTCTGACGGTCGGCTGCACCATCATCTTCTGAGCGACCAGCAGCAACGCATGCTCGCTCCCCCTGCCACTGCGGACGACTTGGCGCCTGGCGAGTGGCGGCAGCATGGCAGCAGCGGCGTGCCTTCTCCGTTGTGACCAGGTGAGTAACTTTTCACCGTATACATTTCTCCTTGCACTGTTTCACCAGCTTCATGCACCTTGAACTCTTCGTCTCCCTGGATGGTGCTCAGCCAATTGTCCTTGCTCCCATGTTCGTTCTTACCACCATCTACAGTTGGCGAACTGCAGCAGCTAGCAGCAGTAGCAGTTGGATCCCGGCAGCAGCAGTAGCGCCAGGCGCTCTGCAGCAGCAGCTGGTGGCCTGCGGCAGCATCTGGCTGGCTGCACCAGCACCTCGCGCTCTGCACCAGCACTTGGCGGACTGCAGCAGCAGCATCTATCGTCCGGCAGCGCCAGCAGTACCTGCAGCAGCACTCTTCACCTGCCTTGTGAGTTAGACCCTTCATTTTCCTCGAACTGTAGAAGTAGCTTGTCTTCGCCTCGTGACCAGTTCCGTAGCCAGTTCTTCATGTTGATTGAGCTCATAGTGCAGCCCTTGCAGCACTTGACTGGCCTTCGCTCTGTGTCACTTTTCCTTGCAGAGGCGTATGGCAGCAGCAGCTGGCGGCGGACTGGAGCAGCACCAGCGGATGGCACTGAGCAGCTGGTGGCACACAGCAGTGACGGAAGCGCCATCCCTTGGCGGCAGCACCAGCTCTTGGCGACTTGCACCATCACCTGGCGGCCAGCTGCACCACCTGACGGCAGCATGTGGTGAGATTATCCTCAGCTTGCTCCCCCTGCCTCGTGTTGACATGGTACCCTGCGCCTCGTAGTGCCTTGTCGTGTTCTGAATGCAAAGTCATTCATCCCTGCTTCCACGTGTGATGCTCTCCTCTTTTCACACCAGCTGGCGCACGGGAGCAGCTGCAGCCGGGGAGCAGCTGCAGCCGGCGGACAGCAACAGCTGGCAGCCTGCACCAGCACCAGCTACACCTGGCAGCACACAGCAGCGACGGCAGTAGCGGAGGCGGACGGCTGCAGCAGCCTAGCGGCAGCACCTGGTCCCCATCAGCACCGTAAGCGCTGGCGCCCTGCACCAGCACTTGGCGGAGTGCAGCAGCAGTAGCTAGCGGCCTGCATCAACAGCAGCTGCCGTTCTGCACGGCCTGCAGCAGCTGCTCCATGGTAGGCATGCAGACCTGTGGCTGCATCTCATGCAGCTCCACTACGCGCGATTCCTGCTCTTGTGCTGTGTTGAACCCTTCGTCTTGGATGATGCCAAGTCTTATTTTAACCCGTTTTGACTTGTTATTCTCCCCCTGAAACCAGCAGGTACACTTGTAGCAACGGCTGCCTGCGGACAGCAGCAGCTGAAGCACTTCATCAAGTGCTGACCGATTGCAGCAGCGGCTCCTGGCGCACGACAGCAGCATCAGTGACCTTTGTCTTGTTCAGTAACAGCAGTAGGTTGCTCCCGTGGTGCCTGACTGCCTTGTAAATGACAATGAAAGATGTAAATGAACTCCCTGATCTTGCTCCATTGTGAATCAGACCAACCCCCACTCCCCCTCTCACTCGTGTGTATGCGCGCTAGCTTGCTCATGGCTGCAAACACACGAGTGAGGTACGTGGAGTTAAGTGGCGTCCGGTTGTGCAGCACACCTCGAGTAGCTCGCGCGTGTGAGTGTTGCACCAGCACCATGTTGTCTATTTGCAGATGTTGCATCAGATGGAATCGGTTTGACGCTGCACACGTGGCTGCAGGTGATGTCATGTCCTTTGGCGAGTTTGGGCTGGTCCTTGGGCATGTCTTCGCCGTCCTTGGATGTCATGTCAGCCATGCGCACCCTTGTTTTTGCATAACCCATCTTGCTTCCAGCATCATGTTTAGCCTCCACTGGTACAGAAACATTTGCTGCAGGCAAATCATCCGCCGCAGCACTTCCGTTTCCTTTGGCTGCACCGACCAAAGCAGCCGCATCATGTCCAGGTATCCCTTGTTTTGCGGAATCTGATCCATCTTCATTTCCTTCTCCCCCTGAAGTCCACACCGCAACGTGGGGTGAGACGTCATTCGTGTGCTGCTGATGTCCAAGCAATGTCTCAGCGTTCAGCAGCGTATCATTAAACATGCGCGGTGCGTGACTGTCCTTGTCACCATCACGTGCCATGTCCCTCACGACACGAGCCATGTGCGCGATGCGGTAGGTGACTGATGCAGGAGCAGATTGACCTTTCAATCCTCCTTGACCATACGCATTCGATGGTGCATCCTCATGAGTATGTTCAGATCAGATCCATGGGTAGAAGCAAGTGCTGGCTCATAGTCCACCATGAGCACTCCATGCACGTCCTTGCCAAGTCCAATCTGTACATGCCCATCTCCAACAGGCATGGTGATCTCGGCGTTGCCATCAGCATTTGTGTTGATTCGAGCTCCCTTTTTCATGAGCTGACAATAAGAGAGAAGGTTGGACTTCAATCCAGGTACGTAGAGCACTTCAGTGTAACGCACCGTCGTCCCATCGGTTGCTTGTGCTCTGATTGTGCCCACCATTGAGCTGTTTAAAGTGCTCCCATCAGCAAGCTCCACTCGTACTGGTTTGTCCAATTCCTTCAAACCTTCAAACCATTGTTTATCCGGAGTCATGTGCTGGCTGCATCCGCTGTCCAGCAACCATAGAGAACCTCCAGAGCTTGGTGTGGTCGTTTGCGACGATCGGATCGTTGCAATGCATGTGACCGTCCGTTTGTTGTCTTTCCCGGCTGCCCCTTGCTGCTTTACACCATTGTCGTCACGTTTGGGGCTGCCACCATTTCGAGGAGATATCGAACGGTTGTTGCTGGTACGTCGGTTAGTCCTCCTGTTGTGTTTCTCCCACCCCGGTGGTGACCATCCTGGTGGTGCCGAGTGACACTTGTAGAATGGGTGGCCCAGTTGCTTGCAAAACCAGCACATGAGAGTTGAGCGTCCGCCCTTTCCATCATTGCCATCCATTTTCTCTCCCTTTGTCACTTGCTGCCCTCCGCTTGAAGATCCAGCATTCTTGGTCCCGGTAGTCTCCTTCGCAGGTGCGATGTCTCTGCGCGCTTGACCAGTCATGCACTGTGTTGCATCGTCTTGACCGTAGGCGTGATGTGTCATCACATCCGCGCGATCACACCGCAAAACACCATTTGATTGCATCTCATGTCCCGTGCGCTCCATGCCCCATGCAGGATCCACTCCCATTAGTGGACGAGGCGCGCGAGGAGGTATGATGCTGTCACCAAGGTGAGATCTGTCCATTACGGGGTCTCCAATAACATAAGAGTGTAGTGGCAAGACGTTTAAGTGGGGGAGCATCAATAGTGTAGTACTCAAGTCCTACACCTTCCACGCCCACATTATCCAAGTTGCCACTTCTTTCACCAGTTAGCATGTTGAACTTTGCTCTCAATGAAGTTTGGAGTGCCGGTGGTGCCCTCGCAACCATGCTCTCCAGGTGCTCATACTGAGCCATGATGGCCTCTTCAAAGGCCTCGTATGCAGCGTCGACTTCATCGTCGAACATCGCCATGCCTTGATCCAATAGGCGTCTTGCTATGCAAACTTGGTAATATGCTTGCCCAATATGATTTGTAATTTGTTTCTGACCAAATTTCGGCAGCATGCCCCCTAGAGTAGCTCTGATACCATGCTAGAAAGGCATAGTGCCAGCGGAAGCCTTGATTGTAGAATAGAATAGCAGGAGAACCTTGCAACTGAATGGATTAAGAACAATGGATTGATTATGAAAGCACACAGCAGGGTCTTTATCCATGCAGCTACCCTGCCAAAGTCTAGCCATCCCCACCAATAATTGTACCACCAATAATGTTAGCTCCAACGAAGGAGTAGCAATAACTCTACCCCCAAACCTCTAGACTCCAATAATGCAGCTCCTACAATAATTGTACAATTATTGTAGGGCCTAGAGGCTTATATGGAGGATTACACTAAAACCTAACAGCACCTATATTTTCTTATGCCTTATATTTCCAACACAATGAACGGCACGGCAGCTCCGATATGACAAGTACCAGGCTAAGGAAGACATCACCATGGTTTACAGCACGGAAAAGCATTGTTTTGCCTCTCCAACACAGGGAGATGGAGTGCATTTGTTGAAACACAACCGGATCAACAAGCTGCAGAATGTACAGCAAATTGCTACAGTGCCCAATTTACAGCAAGCATCTCTACATGTACCTAACGAGCAGAGAAGAAAACAGGTGCTAGAACCAAGATGGCAAGGTAAAGTATTCTCCACAAGTACCGTATCATACGAGATCAGAGAGTCCAAGCGATCGCTCCACCGCTTTGCACCACGATGCAAACCTCTGCTCCCTTGATTCCGAAGTAATTAAAGGCAGAAACACCACCCCTCTCCCCGCACCTGCTGCCCCCCCCTCCTCTGCACTTTGCCCATCCTCCCCAACCGCCCCACCAAGCACCTCCTCTTCGCTCCACAGCCCGACTCCTATGCCTGCAGCAAGTGCTGCTCCCAGCGCTGTTGTCTCGATGTCTGCTGGTCGCTGCACCGGGCATCCGAGGAAGTCAGCCTGGTGGGAAGGACGTAGGGAGAGAGAGTAGGATGGAGGGAGAGAGAGTAGGATGGAGGGAATGATCAATGAGGCGCCTCATAGCTCTTCACCCCACAGCCCGACTCCTATGCCCCCAGGCGCTGTAGTTTCGATGTCCGCTGGCTGCTGCACCGGACATCCCGAGAAGTCCGCCTGGTGGAACGGACGGAATGTCCGCAGCAAGTGCTGCTCCCAGGGCTGTTGTCTCGATGTCTGCTGGTTGCTGCACCGGGCATCTGAGAAATCATCCTAATGGGAAGGATGGATGGATGGATGGATGGATGGATGGATGGATGGATGGATGGAGGGGGAGAGAGAGAGGCTGCGAATGTGCAGAGGAATGTTATAGAGAGGCAGCACAGAAGCATACAGTACATACAGGAGAATGGTCAAACATACAATACATCCCGCTCCAAAGTCGTGTTTTGAGACGTCTCAAAACAGTACATCCCGCTCAAAAGTCCCCTCCACCAATGGCTCGTGAACCTTCCTTCCCTTCCCACTCACCATGCAAAGCCCACCCATCCGCCTCGCAGGGGATGCATGTGCGAATGATCCATCCACCTTTGCTGTGAACAACCCCACCTGGTAGCCCAAACACTTCCACTCGCAAACACTACGCTGCTAACCTCCCAGAAGGCGATTCCACCCAGAAGGCAATTCCTCCCAGAAGGCAATTCCTCCAAGTCCAGTTGAACCCGGCTTGTCTCACCTGCAGCTGCATCAGCAGGCTGTTGATTGACGCCCCTCCATCCACCCTCAACACAAACTGCTCCTTGCTGCCCTCCCTGCAGCTGCCACCACTTCTTTGAGTCTTATTGCTCTCTCACCTGTAACTGCATAAGCAGGTTGTTGATTGACGCCCCTCCATCCACCCTCAACACAAACTGCTCCTTGCTGCCCTCCCCGCTGCTGCCGTCACTTCCTTCTCTGTTGCTGTCACTGCTGCTGCCGGCGCTCCCAACTCCTGTTGCTCCTGAGTGCACCGCATCAGACCGCATTGCATCTAGCACCTCCCGGGTCTGCAGGGGAGATGGAGGGAAATGAGGAAGGCTGGATTCAGAAATATGCCGCACGGCAGTGATGCTGCAAGTGCTGCCACTGCTCCCACATCTTGCTGCTGCTGACTGAACTGCATCAGACCGCATTGCAATAAGAATCTTTCGAGTCTGCATAAGCAGGGTTAGAACGATGGTGGCATGATGGCTGGATAGCTGAATGGCAAGTTGCAGGCATGGAGACATTCACGTCACCTCACTGCACAGCATCCGACTGCACAGCACCTGCCCGAGCGCAGTGAGAGGCGGTGCACACGTGAGAGTAGGGCAGTGGGCAGAATGAATCACGGATGAATGAGAGTGCAGTGTTGAGCAAGCTCTTCTGAGTCGACTCATAGGTGCAGAGCAGAGAATTCATACTGGTGCTGCTGTTGCAGCAGTGGGGTTTGCTTTGCACGGCGAAGGTAGACAATCCACTGGATGAACCAAGGGAGACAAACCACTGGATGAACCAAGGGAGACAAACCACTGGATGAACCAAGGGAGACAAACCACTGGATGAACCAAGGGAGACAAACCACTGGATGAACCAAGGGAGACAAACCACTGGATGAACCAAGGGAGACAAACCACTGGATGAACCAAGGGAGACAAACCACTGGATGAACCAAGGGAGACAAACCACTGGATGAACCAAGGGAGACAAACCACTGGATGAACCAAGGGAGACAAACCACTGGATGAACCAAGGGAGACAAACCACTGGATGAACCAAGGGAGACAAACCACTGGATGAACCAAGGGAGACAAACCACTGGATGAACCAAGGGAGACAAACCACTGGATGAACCAAGGGAGACAAACCACTGGATGAACCAAGGGAGACAAACCACTGGATGAACCAAGGGAGACAAACCACTGGATGAACCAAGGGAGACAAACCACTGGATGAACCAAGGGAGACAAACCACTGGATGAACCAAGGGAGACAAACCACTGGATGAACCAAGGGAGACAAACCACTGGATGAACCAAGGGAGACAAACCACTGGATGAACCAAGGGAGACAAACCACTGGATGAACCAAGGGAGACAAACCACTGGATGAACCAAGGGAGACAAACCACTGGATGAACCAAGGGAGACAAACCACTGGATGAACCAAGGGAGACAAACCACTGGATGAACCAAGGGAGACAAACCACTGGATGAACCAAGGGAGACAAACCACTGGATGAACCAAGGGAGACAAACCACTGGATGAACCAAGGGAGACAAACCACTGGATGAACCAAGGGAGACAAACCACTGGATGAACCAAGGGAGACAAACCACTGGATGAACCAAGGGAGACAAACCACTGGATGAACCAAGGGAGACAAACCACTGGATGAACCAAGGGAGACAAACCACTGGATGAACCAAGGGAGACAAACCACTGGATGAACCAAGGGAGACAAACCACTGGATGAACCAAGGGAGACAAACCACTGGATGAACCAAGGGAGACAAACCACTGGATGAACCAAGGGAGACAAACCACTGGATGAACCAAGGGAGACAAACCACTGGATGAACCAAGGGAGACAAACCACTGGATGAACCAAGGGAGACAAACCACTGGATGAACCAAGGGAGACAAACCACTGGATGAACCAAGGGAGACAAACCACTGGATGAACCAAGGGAGACAAACCACTGGATGAACCAAGGGAGACAAACCACTGGATGAACCAAGGGAGACAAACCACTGGATGAACCAAGGGAGACAAACCACTGGATGAACCAAGGGAGACAAACCACTGGATGAACCAAGGGAGACAAACCACTGGATGAACCAAGGGAGACAAACCACTGGATGAACCAAGGGAGACAAACCACTGGATGAACCAAGGGAGACAAACCACTGGATGAACCAAGGGAGACAAACCACTGGATGAACCAAGGGAGACAAACCACTGGATGAACCAAGGGAGACAAACCACTGGATGAACCAAGGGAGACAAACCACTGGATGAACCAAGGGAGACAAACCACTGGATGAACCAAGGGAGACAAACCACTGGATGAACCAAGGGAGACAAACCACTGGATGAACCAAGGGAGACAAACCACTGGATGAACCAAGGGAGACAAACCACTGGATGAACCAAGGGAGACAAACCACTGGATGAACCAAGGGAGACAAACCACTGGATGAACCAAGGGAGACAAACCACTGGATGAACCAAGGGAGACAAACCACTGGATGAACCAAGGGAGACAAACCACTGGATGAACCAAGGGAGACAAACCACTGGATGAACCAAGGGAGACTGCCAGCCAAACCAAGAACTGCTGGATGAACCAAGGGAGACTGCCAGCCAAACCAAGAATTGCTGGATGAACCAAGGGAGACAAACCACTGGATGAACCAAGGGAGACAAACCACTGGATGAACCAAGGGAGACTGCCAGCCAAACCAAGAACTGCTGGATGAACCAAGGGAGACTGCCAGCCAAACCAAGAACTGCTGGATGAACCAAGGGAGACTGCCAGCCAAACCAAGAACTGCTGGATGAACCAAGGGAGACTGCCAGCCAAACCAAGAACTGCTCTTGCAACTGCTTTTCTGCTGCCACAGCCTGCTATTGCAATGCTCGCCTTGCTGCATTCCTGTTGTGCTGTGCGCTGCTGCTGTTGCACCTAAGGCACAGGCTCATGCCCCTATGCATGCTCTTGCGCTAGTGGCATAAGCACATGCCACATGCGTGCTGTTTGAACTAGTGGCATAAGCACATGCCACATGCGTGCTGTTTGCGCTAGTGGCATAAGCACATCCCCTGCACCAACACCCATCCACCTGCCACGCGATTGCGTGGGGCACTGCGCATGCGATGTGCACTCTTGTGATGTACAACAGGACCGGCACACAGTGACCTGACCACACAGCACACAGTGACCTGACCACACAGCACACAGTGACCTGACTACACAGCCCAGAGCCCACCTGCCAGGCGATTGTTTCCAGCACCGCCCGGGCAATGTGCGCTCTTGCGGTGAAGAGAGACGGACCCACAAGAACCACAAGCACGTGCCCTTGGTGCTGTGCGCTGCTGCTGCAGTTGTGGGACAGCACCCACCTGCCATGCAATCGCTTCCAAAACTGCTCGTGCAATATGCGCTCTTGTGGTGAAGCGCGACAGACCCACTATCACACCCCTCGCGTCCTCCCTCCACCGCGGTGCGAAGAGCCCACTGCCACGGGGGAGCAGCAGGAGAAGGAGAAGAGGATATTGAGTGTGAGTTGGGAGGTGCGGGTGAGAGGAGTGTGAGTTGGGAGGTGCGGGTGAGAGGAGTGTGAAGGGAACGGATGCGAGGCGAGCAAGGAGCACCCAGTAGCACTCCCCTCGCGTCCTCCCTCCACCGCGGTGCGAACAGCCCACCGCAACGGGAGAGCAGGAGGAGAAGGAAAGTGAGAAGCGAAAACAAGGGGCGTGTTCCTCCCTGGCTCTTAAGATGACAGGGGAGAGAGGCCGAGGAAAGGGGTCTGGGAGAGGGGAAGAGGGAAGAGTCGGAGGATTGAGTGGGCCCTCCCCACGAATCTCTATTTTGAGGGCTGGTTAAAGAGATTGGTGGAGTTTGAAATGCCCTCAAAACTGAGTGGTCAGAAACAGACAGGCACAAAGTAGACTCCCCCCATGTGGGGTGGGACACCGAAGCTGCCAGGGGCTTGACCTCCCAGGGGCTTGACCTCCCAGGGGCTTGACCTCCCAGGCGCTAGAGATGATCCCATGGTTATCCTGTCCTTCAGCCGCTAAAATGCGGGCACAAAATAAACCCCGTCTGTGTGGGGAACCGAAGCAGCAAGCAAGGGATTCCACCTCTCGGGCATAGAGATGATCCGAGATTGTCCCTCGGCCGCTGCACCTCAAAGCCCGCAACGCTCACCTGAATGCAGGCACGAAGTAAACCCCCCCTGTGTTGGGCTCGACCTCCCTGGTGCTGGTGATGGTCCCAAGGTTGTCCCTGAGCCACTGCACCTCAAGGCCCACAATTTTCACCTGAAGGCCTGTACCACTCACCTGAAGGCAGCAACAATCACCTGAAGGCGGGTACAAAGTACACCCCTCCTGTATCGGGCACTGAAGCAGCAAGGGATTCGACCTCCTTGGTGCTGACATGATCCCGAGGCCGTCTCTCAGCCACTACACCTGTATGCCGTAACACCCACTCACTTGAAGGCCAATCACACCCACCTGAAGCCTATACCACCCACCTGAATGCGGGCACGAAGTAAACCCTGCCTGTATTTGGCACAGAGGCTGCCAGGGCCTCGACCTCCCTGGTGCTGGCGATGATCCCAAGGCTGTCCCTCAGCCACTGCACCTCAAGGTCCTAGCAGTCACTTAAAGGCCTTACCACTCACTTAAAGCCTGTTCCACCCACCTGAATGCGGGCACGAAGTAAACCCCGCCCGTGTTGGGCACAGAGGCCGCCAGAGCCTCGACTTCCCTGGTGCTGGCGATGATCCCGAGGTTGTCCCTCAGCCACTGCACTGCCGCGCCTGCTATGGCTATACTGCCCTCCAAGGCATAATAGCATGTGCCGCTGCCGCCACTGCTGCTGCCGCCACTGGCACTTGTACCAATGCTACCACCTGATTCTTTTCTGCAATCTTCCGCATCTGTTGCACTTCTGCTGCCCGCCCCGCCAGTATCCCCTCTGGACGCCTTGCTGGCCTCCCCTCCTCCGCTCTCTCCCCTTCTGCCCAACTGGAAAGCCACTGTGCTGAGAAGGCCGTGTTGAGACGCGCACACCTGATGAGAGCAAGGGCAGCAGGGGAGCATGTGGGGTAGGGCAAGGGGGAGCATGCGGGGTAGGGCAAGGGGGAGCGGCGAGCTGTGAATCGGGGCAAGATTCAACGCAACTGGAAGGCCACTGGGTGCTCAGCAGGCTGTGCTCAGCAGGCTGTGCTCAGCAGGCTGTGCTCAGCTGATCAGCAGGCTGTGCTCAGCAGGCTGTGCTAAGACGCACACAACTGGCAGTGGGAGCGAGAAACGGAACAAATGACATTTGCTTTGGAGGGGTGAGGGAGAGGAACGCCCAAGCATGAAGCAGCCTGCACCACATGAGGCTTTTGCCTCTCCCTGGGTACCCTACCCTGGCCTGCCGCCACTGGCCTCACTGTGGCGCATCCCTCCCTACCCTGGCCTGGCGCATCCACATTGCGCCAAACATCAGCATTATTGCAGTCTGAACACGAGTGAGCCTCACCTGTGGTCCTGTGTTGAGCAGCATGAAGCACCCCGTGCCAATGGTTGCCTTAGCAGCTTAGCTTGCCCAAGAGAGCACCGCTGCCCCAGCATGGCAGCATGCTGGTCCCCCAGACAGCCCGACAGCACGAGTCGACTCAGCCTCACCTGTGGCCCTGTGTTGAGCAGCATGAAGCACCCCGTGCCGAAGGTGGCCTTCACCTGCCCCTGGGAGCACCGCTGCCCCAACATGGCAGCATGCTGGTCCCCCAGACAGCCTGACAGCACGAGTCGACTCAGCCTCACCTGCGGCCCTGTGTTGAGCAGCATGAAGCACCCCGTGCCGAAGGTGGCCTTCGCCTGCCCCTGGGAGCACCGCTGCCCCAACATGGCAGCATGCTGGTCCCCCAGACAGCCCGATAGCGGCACCCCTGCTAGTGGCCAGGACGAGGCTATAGGGGCGATGTGCTCTGGTGGGGTGAGGAGGGGAGGAGATGGACAGACAGATGGACGGAGGGGAAAGGAAGCATAGAGTAGAGAGAGAGAGTGTTGGCCGCCACGGTGGCGTGGCGTGGCAGTTTCACTGTTGCCCGGGCCTACGGTGGGAGGGAAGAGGAGCAGATGAGATGAGCTATGAGCTATGAGCTTCTGGCTTGGTTGTGAAAAGGGGGAAAGGAGAAGATGAACGAACACACGCACACATCCGTGTCGCTCTCAGCCCCCACCCACCAGCAGCCCACCCAGCAACTCACCAGCGCTAGAAATGATGCTGGGGAGGATGCTTCTGGGAATGTTCAGGGCCTCGAGAATGGGTTGGCTCCACTGCAGCGCTCTGAGGTCCATGAGCAGCGTGCGGGAGGCATTGCTGCTGTCCGTCACGTGACACGCACCACCTGTAGGGGGGTGTGGAGGGATATGTGGGGAATATTGGGGTGGGGATGTGAGTCACATGGCAGACAGGCAGGATCAGTTGTAGGGATGAATGGAGGGGTGGATGGGGTAAAACGGGCTGGGGATGTTGAGTCCGCAATGAGAAATTTAGGAAACCAGAGGACAGGGGAAGGAAATTGAAGGGCACGTGAATGACAATGACAGAGGACTGTTTTGGTGGGTGGGCGAAAAATCTGACTTGTAAGAGAGAACGAATGAGAGATGCACATTATAGGAGCGGCACCTGTCAGGTTCCAGATGAGCCACGTGTCAATGGTGCCAAACAACGCATCGCCGTCCTCCACTGCCTGCCTGACAGCTGGCACCTCCTCCAGCAGCCACGTCAGCTTGAGGGCGCTGAAGTAGGTGCTGAGTGGCAGCCCCGTCACGCCCCTCCCCTCGTCCCGTCCGCCTGGAAGCTGCTGCTCCAATCGCCTGGGCGCCGGGAGAAGGAAGTAAAGGGTGCAAGCATGAAAACGTGAGCAGAATAGCCTGGTTGCATCAACTTTTGAGATGTCCCAAACCTGGAAGACGTGCATTCAATATTGTGCTCATGCGAGTGCACATCCATCCACATTATTTCTTTACACAAAGTTTTTTCCCAAGCTTCTCCCCATGTTTTCACACCACTGCACGCAACCTCGACCCCAGCTCACATGCAGAGAGCGCCCTTGCGCACGCCCATCCACACAATGGCGTCCTATAGATGCTCCCCCGCTCACATTCCGAAGTTATCATGCCCCAGCAAGACAAGCAGTTCCATTCCAGCTCACTGGCAGAGAGTGCTCGTGCGCACGTCCATCTACACTATGGCGTTGTAGAGAGGCTCGCCCGTGATCCTGCGCCACACGACAGCTGTCTCACCGCAAACGTGTCACAGCACAACAAGCTGTCCCAGCCCCCAACTCACTGGCACAGGGCGCTCGTGCGCACGTCCATCCACACAATGGCGTTATACAGAGGCTCGCCCGTGCTCCTGCGCCACACGACAGTTGTCTCCCTCTGATTGGTCAGCCCCACGGCCCTGACCGAGTCAGGCCCCACGTGCACCCCCTTGCTCCGCGCTGCTGCCATGGCTCCCTCCATGCAGTGACGGACCGTGGAGACGATGACCATGGGGTCGTGCTCCACCCAGCTGGGAGCACGGGGCGATGGGGAGTGAGGGGGTTGGGAGGGAGGAAGGGCAGAGAGGTCTGATGTGTTGCTTCATCTGCTCATCGCTGCTGCTATTGATCCCTCCATGCACTGGTGGACTGAAGAGAGAATGACCATGGGGTCATGCTCCACCCAGCTGGGAGCACGGGGCGATGGGGGGTTGGGAGGGGGGAAGGAGGAAAGGGAAAGAGGTTGATGTGTTGTGTATTTTGCTCCGCGCTGCTGCCATGGCTCCCTCCATGCAGTGACGGACCGTGGAGAGAATGACCATTGGGTCATGCTCCACCCAGCTGGAGGGGCAAGCAGTGATGGGAAAAAAAGCGGAGGGGATGGGAGGCACGCTGGACGGTAAGAACACCTTTCTGTGTGACTCTTTGCTGCCATGGCTCCCTGCATGCAGTGACGGACCGTGGAAAGAATGACCATGGGGTCATGCTCCACCCAGCTGGATACATAAGAAGGATGGGCGGCGGAATGGAGTGGAGGAGACGCAGTGAGGTCGGATTATGTTCGTGTGTGCATGCTGCTGCTGCAATGGTAATGGTTCCCTCCATGCACTGGCGGACGGAGGAGAGAATGACCATGGGGTCATGCTCCACCCAGCTGGATATCACAGCAGAACGGGAGGAAGGCGTAGGGGAGGACTGAACAACTCTGCAGCACTGTGAAGAGGGTTGTGAAGAGGATTGTGAAGAGGCTGGCTCTTTGCTGCCAAGACTCCCCCCATGCACTGGCGGACTGTGACGAGGATCGCCATCAGTCGTGCTCCACCCAGCTGGGATGGAGAGGCAGAAATTACTGGGAGAATGAGAGGGTTGAGAAGGCGGTGACGATGGAACGGAGGCAAGATATCATTTCGCTGTTGCGCTGCAGCCCTTGCCAGGCCAGACAGCTCGTTGTCCCTTCTTGAATGGCTTCGAAAGGGAACAACTTACAGGCAAGCTTTCGTTTTAACTCGTAACGAGGATTCTGCGAATACACGAACCGTTCTAAGGCGAGAATGAGTACAGCGAGCCTACCCGGCCTGAGGCTGAATTTGCTCGAATTCCATCTGATGCGACGCGACGACGCGTAAATGCTCGTCGTATAGGAAGAATCGCGTGCTCGTCGTGCCCTGGTCGATGGCTCCCACCAGCCACCCTTCCCCGCGATCGCCGCCGGTAGTCATGCTCGCACTCGCGACGCACGCTATTACGCTAGGAACTCTCCTCCTGGAAACACTGGACGGAGTGCCTCGAGCGGAAAAGGGGACGGCCGTTGAAATGTTTCTAAACAGTTGCTCGAAAGTATGATTTTCTCGGATCTGGTGGGATAGCCTGTGCCGTTTCCAGTCGCCTCGACGGAGGCTGGAGAACGGGTTCCCGGCGGTCACAGCATAACGGTGCCTCTGCCAGTTTCGGGAAATTCCTGACAATGGGACGTCGAGAGTGGCCCGCGAAACAACTCTCAATGTCGCCGCGGATTGGATAAGCATTGCCAGGTCAGCAACGCGTCGCGAAAAGAAGGGTCAGAACTCAGTTGGTCGAGAAAGCGAGTGTGTGGTGGTGCTGCTGAGCCGAATGCAGTAGGCCCTCCCGCACTCTCCCTCCTAGATTGTTGTGTGACATTCCTGGTGACAGTGTGAATGTGATTTGTCCAAGGTGGGAAAAGCAGCAACGACGCATTTTCAGCAAACGGAAATACTTGGTATCGAGTGGAATTACTCTATGAAAACCCTCTACAGAAATAATTTCGGTGAGCTACGACTGAAACAGCGGTTCTGTCAGTATCGAGTAGTCAGTTTTCCAGACCAGCCGTGCCCTGCAAGCCAAAGTCGCGAAGCCAAGCATTATCAATATCGCATCACCACCACATTAGGGCCCTGTTCGGTATCCTCCCAGTCACACTGGGCCCACTCGAACTGGGGAAGCCTCTGGTCCGTTTCGTAGCCTCGGGCCTCCATCGCACTAGAAGTTTCATCCATTTTCTGCAAGAAGTTACCACGTGTTTGTAGAGAAATTGCTGACCGAATTTTGCCTGCTGCCCCACCCACAAACAAGAAATCAGCCCGCCAACTGGTTTCCCCTCATTATGGATGAAATAAAAACGGACCGCGAGCACGATCTCTCGTCGTTTTTTATTGAACGGACTAAAAAAATATTTTCGGCCCGAAATGACACTAATGCAGCGTATTCCCTCCAACATTCCACTCAGAGTGGGCCTGCCTGAGTGGAACTGGAAAGCTGAAATGGGATGGACTTGCACTGACGGTCAAATTTGCCTGGGCACGCCAATTTCGTGGTAGTGTCTTCCCCTGCACTCAGGGTGGGTTTATGACGCGTTCGACAGACAAATCGCACTAGGCAGGTTTGGTGTTCTAATAACGATCTGGCTGGCTTTAAGGGGTATCGAAATTGGGCCGCGGAAGATCACCTGCACCAACTGCTGTGTGACTGGGGGGGCTACCGAACAGGGCCCAGAACATTTAAAATCATACCAAAACGCAGGAAACCGGCTAGAACGTCCGACACCCGTAACGTCTGCAGGCAAAACCTCCCGCTGCCCGCACTGGCAGGGCAGATCAATTCCCTCTGGACAGGAACAGAACATTCCATTCTCCTCCCCAACCTTCGCTTTCTCTTCCACCCCACTCCCATCCCCTCCCCCACCCGTCGATTTCCGTTCCCTTCTCGCTTTCACATCTCTCCCATTCCATACCGGCTCACCTCGAGCAGCACTCATTCCCACCCACATTTCTCCGAATTCGCTTTTCCCCGCCTCGGATTCGGCTGAGCTTTCCAAGGTACCTCGGCCGAACCGAAACTGGGGGTTTCTCGATCCCCTATCGTTCAATTCGGAACCCTTTTTTCTCCGTGCTCGGTTTCCTCGTGTCGTCGCGCGTCGGTCCTTAGTATTTTAGGAGGTAGCACCGCCGGCGAGGCGATTTGCTGTATGCCACTGCATCTCACCTCGCGATCGGGCGCGGACGGCGGCGCCGTGGAATCAGACGATCGCGAGCACAAGCGCCAGAAGATCGACGGCGAGGACGCGACCGTAGTGACCGACCCTAAATTAGACGATTCCGTTCCGTCCAAGGTGACGAATCCGTCGAATCGCGACGTGGAAATGGCTCCGCAGCCGACATCTGACAGCGCGAACGGCGCCGCGACCGGCGCCGGCGGAGGTGGGGAGATTGTGATTGACGAGGATCTGCACAGCCGACAGCTGGCGGTGTATGGCCGCGAGACGATGAAACGCTTGTTCGGCGCGAAGGTCCTTATTTCAGGACTCAACGGCCTTGGCGTGGAAATCGGTACGTGAAGCAAGGTGATGGTAGAAATACGATTGCTCGATAATTTTTACTTGAGCTCGGTTTATGGCCGCAAGACGATGAAGCTCTTGTTCGGCGCGAAGGTCCTCATCTCGGGACTCAACGGCCTTGGCGTGGAAATCGGTACGTGAAGCAAAATCACAGTTGAAATAAGATTGGTCGACGAATTTTTACTTGAGGAGCTGGCGGTGTATGGCCGCGAGACGATGGAACGCTTTTTTTTTTGCGAACGCGCGAATTTGGGACTCAACGGCCTTGGCGGAGAGATTGGTAAGAAGGGCGTCGAGAGTGCGTTGGGCAGCGAAATAGGCCGATTGAGACGATGAAGCGTGTGCTTTCCGCTAAGATTCTGATTTCAGATCTCACCGGCCTTGGCATCCAGATTGTGCGTGAAGGCGCTTACAGAGGGATGCGATACCTTGATGACATATCTGCGAAAATCCGGTGGTTTTTGGCCGCGTGTATCACTTGAAAGGCCTGCATCTTGGAATCCTCCGCTGTAGATCTTGGGACGCCAGGGATTCTGTGCAAAATGCGTGTCGCCAGAATTTGATCACTGAAACGCGGAACTGAACTGAATGTCACCCGTTCAACTCGAGTTGAGCGTGTTCGTTTCATTTCTGGGCGGATTAAACCGGTCCGACGTATGAAACAGGTTCCATCTGCACTCTCCTCCCACTCGTGTGCTTCACGGTGCCCTGTTTATTTCCAATGGTGTTTCGATTGTGAGCGTCTTTGGTCCTGGCAAGGAGTAACTATCCATAGACTGGTCATTGTGGCCGGGCTTCTCAGTCATTGCCGCCCTCTGTTCCTTCGCGGGTTCAGGGCTTTACGCCTCTCCGTTTTTCTCCTTTCGTTCATTCACATCGTCTCTGCTTTTCCTCCTCCGCGCCTCTCTTCCTCCCTTCCTCGTGCAGCCAAGAACGTGATTCTAGCAGGCGTCAAGTCGGTGACAGTGCACGATACAGTCACAGTAACGGACCTCTAGGCGCAGTTCTTACTCTCCAAGGCTGATGTGGGGGTCAACCGCGCGTAAACTAATCTATCAAACATCAGACCCATTTTCCTCTCCCTTTCACCCCGTTTCCTTTCCTCGTTCTCCCCATTCAATCCTCTCAGCCAAGAACGTGATTCTAGCGGGCGTGAAGTCTGTGACAGTGCACGATACAGTCACAGTAACAGTGCAGCACCTCTCGGCGCAGTTCTTCCTCTCCGAGGCCGACGTGGGGCAGAACCGCGCGCAGGCGTGTGCTGCGCGGCTGCAGGAGCTCAACAAGGCCGTGGAGGTCCATGTGCACACGGCGCCCATTGAGAAGGAGTTCCTGGGGGATTTCCAGGCGAGTAACAGACGGGGATTGGGGTGTGGGACGTATGCTGCGCTCCTGTGCTGCGCGCCTGCAGGAGCTCAACAAGGCGGTGGACGTTCATGTGCACATTGCGCCAATTGGGAGGGGGTTCCTGGGGGACTTTCAGGTGGGTGAAGGAGGCAGATTGTTTTACAAGGCGTAGGGGGCTTTGAGGCCTGTGCTGCGCGCCTGCAGGAGCGCAACAAGGCCGTGGACGTTCACGTGCACACGACGCTCATTGAGAAGGAGTTTCTGAGTGACTTTCAGGTGGGTAACAGAGGGAGGCTGGGGAATGAGAGCGGAATGTCATGGGGACAGCGCAGCGATTGAGAAGGGAGTTCCTGGGTGGTATGTATGAGTATGGGATGTCGTCGAGATTTGCAAGTACATATGAACGTGTGACGCCTACTGCCACGCGCACCCCCCTCCCCCCCTCCCCCCCCCCGGCCTCATCCGTCCCCTTTCTTCCTGCTGTCCCCCTTCTTGCTGTTCCCCATTCCCCATTCCCCCCTCCAGGCGGTCGTGTTCACCGACTTACCTCTCGATCAAGCCATCGAGTTCGCCGCCTTCAGCCACGCCCACACCTGTTATTCCCACTGTCCCCCATCCCTCGTTCCACCCTCCAGGCCGTTGTGTTCACGGATCTCCCTTTGGACCAAGCCATTGAGTTCGACGCCTACTGCCACGCCCACACCCCCCCTCACCCCTCTGTGGCCTTTACCCGCTGCGAGACCCATGCAGTCTCAGCCACGCATTGACCCGCCTCATAACTCTTTCCTGCCTTCTCTTCTTCTCACGTCCCCTATCCCTCGTTCCCCCCTCCAGGCTGTTGTGTTCACGGACCTGCCTCTCGACCAGGCCATCGAGTTCGACGCATACTGCCACGCGCACTCCCCCCCGGTGCCCTTCATCCGCTGTGAAACCCGGGGCGTGTTCGGTGCGATCTTCTGCGACTTCGGCCCCAAGTTCACCGTCACCGATGTCGACGGGGAGGAGCCTTTCTCGGGAATCGTTGCATCTGTTGCCAAGGATTCCCCCGATGCACTCGTAACCTGTGTGGATGATGAACGGCTGGGATTTCAAGATGGCGATCTGGTGGTGTTCTCGGAGGTCCGGGGGATGACGGAGCTTAACGACGGGAAGCCGCGCCGCGTGAGGAACGTGCGGGCGCATTCGTTCCTCTTAGACGATGACACGTCAGCTTATGGCGCGTATGAAAGCGGCGGGATTGTGACGCAGGTGAAGCAACCCAAGGAGTTGGCCTTTCGGCCGCTCGCAGCTTGCCTGGACCAGCCCGGAGAGTTCCTGCTGAGCGACTTTGCCAAGTTCGACCGCCCGCCGCTGCTGCACCTCACCTTCCAGGCGCTGGACGCTTTCCGGAAGGAGACCGGGAGGTTTCCCGTGCCGGGGTCAGAAGCTGATGGGGCGAGGGTGGTGGAGCTGGTTAGGGAGGTGAATGGGCGGGTGGGGAAGGATGCGCAGGTGGAGGAGGGGGTGGTGAAGGAGGGGGAGGGGCTGATAAGGCAGCTGGCTCACGGGGCGAGTGCGGAGATTTGCCCGATGGCGGCCATGTTTGGAGGGATTGTGGGGCAGGAGGTGGTTAAGGCGTGCTCGGGCAAGTTCCACCCGCTCTTCCAGGTGAGCAGCTGTCATAGATGGGAAGGAACTCTTTTTTACGTGAGCAGGGGTGCTTGCATGTGAAGAGGGGTTCGAGCAGGGGTGAGGAGGGGTTCTGGTATGGCAGCTGGCGCACAGGGCTAGTTGAGTTCTGTTACCTGGCGGCCAGGCAAGCGGTGGTGTAGGCCTGATCGTGCAAGTTCCATGTCTGTTTCGAGGAAACAGCTCAGCTCCCACCAACACGCGTTATGATGCACAACTTGCCTTTTTTGGCCGCACGCTGCAGGCGCACATGCACTCCTTGCTGCTGATTGATGCATTTTCTCATCTGCTCGTCTCCCTCCCCCCCCCCCCCCCTGCCGCCCGTTTCCTACACCCCTTCCTCCTCTCCAGCTCTTTTACTTCGACTCTGTCGAGTCGCTTCCAACCGAGCCCCTGTCAGCGGAGGAAACAGCGCCCACCAACACGCGCTATGACGCACAGATCGCCCTCTTTGGCCGCACGCTGCAGGCGCGCATGCACGCCGCCTCCACCTTTGTGGTGGGTGCAGGTGCGCTGGGCTGTGAGCTGCTCAAGAATCTGGCTCTTATGGGCGTTTGCTGCTCGCCCCCAGGGGAGAAACCTGCTGCTGCTGATGAGAGTGTGCCGTTGAGCGGCAAGGGCTACCTGACGGTCACGGATGACGACACGATCGAGAAGAGCAATCTCAGCCGTCAGTTCCTCTTCCGCGACTGGAACATCGGGCACGCAAAATCTTCCGTGGCAGCGGTGGCCGCGAGGGTAATTAACCCTGCGCTGCGCGTGAACGCCCTGCAAAACCGCGTGGGGCCGCAGACTGAAGACGTTTTCGACGACGCCTTCTGGGAACACTTAGACGTCGTTATAAACGCACTCGATAACGTGAACGCGCGTCTCTACGTCGACTCCCGCTGCCTCTACTTCAACAAGCCGCTCCTTGAAAGCGGGACTCTCGGCGCGAAATGCAACACACAGATGGTCGTTCCGCACGAAACGGAGAACTACGGCGCGTCCCGGGACCCTCCGGAAAAGCAGGCCCCGATGTGTACGGTCCACTCGTTCCCCCATAACATCACGCACTGCTTGACTTGGGCGCGCAGCGAGTTTGAGGGTTTGCTGGAGCGGACCCCGAGTGAGGCGAACGCGTTTCTGAGTGGGCCGGAGAAGTACTGCGAGGAGATGATGGGCGCTGGGGATGCTGCTGCGAGGGAGGCGCTGGAGAGGGTGGTGGAGTGCCTTGTCACGGAGAGGGCCAGCAGCTTCGATGACTGTGTGTCGTGGGCGCGCCGCAAGTGAGTGGCTAGGGGTTCTGGTCGGGTTTGTGGTTTGGGGGCTGGGGTATAAGGTATGGTTCAGAGATGATGGTCGAGAGGAGTTGTTGCACCAAGGGAGGCGCTGGAGAGGGTGGTGGAGTGCCTTGTGACGGAGAGGGTCGGCAGCTTTAATGACTGCGTGTCTTGGGGACACCATAAGTGAGTGCCTTGAGGATCGGGGTTTGGGGTTTAAGATTAATAGTCGGGTTTGGGGGGTTCGGGTTTGGGAATTGGGCTGGGATTGGAGAGATGGGGGAACCAATAAAATGCATCCCTGCCCATATCCCCCCCACCCCCGCCATGCAACCGTGTCCCGCCCTCCCAGGTTCGAGGACTATTTCGCCAATCGCATCAAGCAGCTCACATTCACCTTCCCAGAAAACGCCTCCACCAGTACGGGCCTGCCCTTCTGGTCGCCGCCCAAGCGCTTCCCCACCGCTGTCACCTTCTCCCCAGAGGACCCAACGTGCCTCGCGTTCGTGACAGCTGGCGCGATCCTACGGGCCGCCACGTTTGGGATCGAGGTCCCGGATTGGGCGAGGGACGGGAAGCGGATGGCTGAGGCGGTTGCTAAGGTGGAGGTGGGAGAGTTTGTTCCGAAACAGGTGAGGATGGGGAAGGGGAGAAAGGGCGGGGGAAAGGAGTAGGTGGGTGTAGGAGGAGAGGAAGGGGGGAGTGAAGGGGGGAGTGAAGGGGGGAGTGAAGGGGGGAGTGAAGGGGGGAGTGAAGGGGGGAGTGAAGGGGGGAGTGAAGGGGGGAGTGAAGGGGGGAATGATTATGGCTGAGGCGGTTGCTAAGGTGGAAGTGGGGGGGTTTGTGCCGAAGCAGGTGAGCAATGGGAGGGGGGGCAGAGAAGGGTTGGAGGGGTGTGGGGAGGGAAGGGAAGAGAAGTGGAGAAGGATGGTAAGAGGATGGCTGAGGATGGCTGAGGAGGAACCTAAGAGGATTGTGGGAAGAGGATGGCTGAGGCGGTTTCTAAGGTGGAAGTAGGGGAGTTTGTGCCAAAGCAGGTGAGGATTGTGGGTGAGGGAGGGGGGGGGGGATGGGGGGTTGAGTTGGGGCTTGAGCGGGGACATGGGAGAAGGATGTGAAACGGATGGCTGAGGAAGTGGCTAAGGTGGAAGGGGGGGGAGGGGGGAGGGGGGAGGGAAGGGGTGAGAGGGATGGACGGGGTAAGGAAGGGGGAAAGGAACAATGAGGATGGCAGATGCGGTTGCTAAGGTGGAAGTGGGGGAGTTTGTGCCGAAGCTGGTGACTAAGGAGGGCGAAGGGGGAGGGAGGGGGGGTTTGGGGTGTAGGAAGAGGGGAGGAAGAGAGATGGGAGGGGAGGTGAGAAGGCGACCAGCACTGCCACGTCAGCGGGGGACGACAGCAAGGCAACTGGCGTCATCCTTCTTCACCACAGTTCCACCCCTCCGCAAACCCTACCAACCACTCTGCACTCCTCTGCAATGCTGCCTTACAGGGTGTCAAGATTGTGAGGAATGGGAATGCGACCAGTGCTGCCACGTCAGTAGGGGAGTGTGGCAAGGCAACCCGCAGCGCATCTCCTCACCACCGTTCAACCCCTTCCCACCGCTCTGCACCCCTCCCCACCGCTTCCTCACAGGGTGTGAAGATTGTGACAGATGAGAAGGCCACTAGTGCTGTCACATCCATGGGGGAAGATGGCAAGGCAACCCCCCACACCCCTCCCCACCAATGCTCCACCCCTCTCCACCCCTCTCCACCCCTCTCACCACTGCCTCACAGGGTGTCAAGATTGTGACAGATGAGAAGGCCACCAGCGCTGCCACGTCAGTGGGGGACGACGGCAAGGCGATTGCAGAGCTGGTGGGGCGGCTCAAGGAGGGCAGCAAGGGGCTTTCCAAGGAGTTCCGCATGGTGCCAGTGCAGTTTGAGAAGGTGAGGGGGAGTGGGAAGAGGTGAGGGGTATCATTAAACTGTCTGATCTGATAGGGGTCAGTCAACAGTAAGGCAGTAGCAAACTTGGTGGGCGGCTGAAGGAGGGCAGCAAGGGGTTTTCGAAGGAGTTCCGCGCGGTGCCAGTGCAGTTTGAGAAGGTGAGAAGGTGAGTGGGAGATGTGGGGGTGCCTTTGAAACGACTCAACAGGTGGTAGTTGTGTCAGTCGGGAGGCTCAACTCAAGGCATTCATGCGTCGCTTTTGAGAATTCTGAGAAGCGTCGCAAAAGTGGCTGCGACAGGCAGTAGTCGAGTTATTTAGAAGGCCCAAGTCAAGGCATGCACGCGACCAGTCGGATACTCCTAAAGCCCTCTCCCCCCCGCAACCCCCCCCCCCCCCCCCCCCCCCCCCCCCATCGCTCCCCTCTTCCTTGCATCCCCCTTGTGTGTTTTTCTCTCCTCAGGATGACGACACCAACTACCACATGGATCTCATGGTAGCTCTCGCCAATCTCCGTGCACGCAACTACACCATTGGAGAGGTTGACAAGCTCAAGGCCAAGTTCATTGCTGGGCGGATCATCCCTGCCATCGCGACTACGACGGCTCTTGCTACTGGTGAGGGAGGGAGTGGGATGCGGTGGGGTGGGGTGGGCTAATCTTTTGAGAAGATGATTGTGTTTCAGGAGTGGAAGGCGGCGAGGTGGACAAGCTCAAGGCCAAGTTCATTGCCGGGCGAATCATCCCTGCCATCGCTACCACCACTGCTCTTGCCACTGGTGAGAACAGGGAGTGGGATGCGGTGGGGTACAGTGGGGTCGTGTTGTGAGTGGATGACTGTGTTTCAGGGGTGGGGTAGGCGAGGTGGACAAGCTCAAGGCCATTTCATTGCTGGGCGCATCATCCTTCTCATCGCCACCACCACTGCTCTTGCTACTGGTGAGAACAGGGAGTGGAGTGGAGTGGGGTGGGGTGGGGTGGGATGGACAAGCGGAAAGCCGAGTTCATTGCTGGGCGGATCATCCCTGCCATCGCCACAACCACTGGTGAGGGGAGGAGATTGATTGCTTGTATTGATCGTGTGCTTGGTTGTTTCTGTTGTGCCTGTGATAGCAACAAGCTCGCTTTTCCCCTGTCCTCCATACCTCCTCAACCCTTCCCCCCCCTTCCTTGCCCAGGCCTCATGTGTCTCGAGCTCTACCGGCCGCTGAAGAACGCCAAGGTGGTCGGCTCTCCGCAACACCTCCGCCAACCTCGCGCTACCACTTCTTACCTATCCGCCTCTCCCCATACCTCTCCCCATACCTCTCCCCATACCTCTCCCCATACCTCTCCCCATACCTCTCCCCATACCTCTCCCCATACCTCTCCCCATACCTCTCCCCATACCTCTCCCCATACCTCTCCCCATACCTCTCCCCATACCTCCCCCCATACCTCTCCCGTCTCCCAGGCCTCGTGTGTCTCGAACTTTACAAGGTGCTGCAGAACGCCAAGGCGTCTGCCCTGCGCAACACGTTCGCTAATCTGGCGCTTCCACTCTTCTCCATGGCTGAGCCCGTGCCGCCCAAGAGTGTGAAGCACAAGGAGCTGACATGGACCGTGTGGGACCGGTGGACGGTGGAGGGCGATGTCACAATGCAGGAGCTGCTGGATTGGTTCTCGGCCAAGGGGCTGGACGCGTACAGGTGAGGCGATGGGTGGAGAGGCATGGTATTTGAGCAACATGAATCTACTGTATAGGATGAGGAGGACGAGGAGGAGAGGAGGTCACCAGCAGCTTCGGAGATCTGGGTTGGCATTGGGGGGTTTGGTGCAAGGCGGGGAATTATGGGCTTTAGCAACCGGGTTGGTCTCCAAAATATGACTAAGCTACATTCTATCTAAACACGTTCGGAGGGGAACTCAATTGCTAGAACCTGTTATTCTCTGCCTGGCTCCAAACTTCCCAACGCCAACCGAGATCCCCGATTCTGCCAGTGAGCTCATTGCCGTGCCTCTCCTGCTATGTCCTGCGGCCAAGCCCTGCTCTTTTCAACTCAATCTTCCCGCGTCACAAGGAGCGCCTACCTCGCAAGGTGCTGGACATTGCAAAGGAGGTGTCCAAACAAACAAAGCCTCTTTCACCGTCCCCTCTTGTCTTCCCTTCTCCCTTTCCGAAACAGCATTTCCCGCGACCAAGCCCTTCTCTTCAACTCGCTCTTCCCGCATCACAAGGAGCGTCTAGCTTGCAACGTGCTAGTCATTGCAAAGGAAGTGCCAAAGCTGGAGGTGCTCAAACCAATAAAGCCTTTTTCCCTGTCTCTTCCTGTTTCCCATTCTTTTGAAACAGCATTTCTTGCATCCAAGCCCAGCTCTTCAACTCGCTCTTCCCGTGTCACAAGAAGCGTCTGCCTCAGAAGGTGCTGGACACTGCGAAGACGGTAGCAAAGCTGGATGTACTCTAACACATCTTCTTTCTGTGCCTCTCCTGTCTTCTCTCTCACCTCCCTGAACAGTATTTCCTGTGGTCAAGCTCTGCTGTACAATTTCCCTCTTCCCGCGTCACAAGGAGCGCCTACCACGCAAGGTGCTGGAAATTACATAGGAGGTGGCAAAGCTGGTGGTGCCCAAACAAACATACCCTATTTCCCTGTCTTTTCCTGTCCCCCCCCCTCCCCTAAACAGCATCTCCTGCGGCCAAGCCCTTCTCTACAATTCTCTCTTCCCGCGTCACAAGGAGCGCCTACCCCGCAAGGTGCTGGAAATCGCAAAGGAGGTGGCGAAGCTGGAGGTGCCGGCATACCGGCGCCACTTTGACGTGGTGGTGGCGTGTGAGGACGAGGAGGGAGAGGATGTTGACGTTCCCATCATCTCCATCAAGTTCCGATAGGCCTCAACACGTGCTTCGACCTCTGCCTCTGACATGCCGCTCCATGCTGCCGTACCTTTGCCACTTTGACGTGGTGGTGGTGTGTGAGGATGAGGAGGGGGAGGGTGTTGATGTCCACTTCATCTCCATCAAGTTCCAATAGGCCGCTACCTGCCTGTGTAGTGTAATGCGCTGCTGACAGTTGGCATCCTGGGGATGGAAAGGAGATGATGTGCTACTGGTTTTCTTCATAATTTGTTAAAAATACCTGCTTGTTGCCTGTGAGATTGATCATGCTGTGGTGTTCCAACTTCCATGCACACTACCCACATGCACCGACTTCGCTGAGTGCTGTTCTTACTCTGATGGGATGTGTTGCTAGTGGAAATGTCATAATGAGAGAAGTGTGTGAACTATGAGAAGATGGGAGTACAAATACAAAACCCTAGAATTGTGTACCCCCTAAAGGCTAACCCACTGTAGCCTACACAGCAATAACACAAGTATATTGTTTGACACACCCCCATAGGCAAAGTGGGGGAGAGCAAGGGGTCACAAGACCAGTCAAGAAAGGCAAGCAAGCCCAGGGTGGATCACAACGTCACCACACACTCTGAGCACAAGCAAAGAGCCACAAGGCCAGTTCACATGCAGAGCTATATATGTAACACAAGCATCACAGTGATCTATATCTAGCAAGCATGCAGGTATATATAAATAAATAAATAAATAAATATAAATATATATATATATATATATATATATATATATAGAGATCACGGCACACGCAAAGTCTACAGCAAGTGAGGAAAAGTGGGCACAAGCCCTAACAAAGTGCAGAAGCGCTGATGATCACTAGGCGGGAGTGCCTTGGTGAATATATCAGCAGTGTTGGCCTGAGTGGCCACGTAACGCAGACGAAGCTGACCACGCTGCTGCAACTCTCAAGCCAGAAAGTACCGCAGAGCGAGGTGCTTCGTTCTGTGCTCCAGTCTGTGCTCGTGACACAAGGCAATGGCAGCCTTGTTGTCAACGTACAGCACTGGAGGAGAACGAGGCCGCTTTCCCAGGTCGGTCAGCAGGTAGGTGAGCCAGCGTAACTCCTGAGCAGCCATGGCTGTGGCGTAGATCTCAGCCTCACAACTGGAGCTGAGAACTGAAGACGAACGTGTAGAACGCCAAGAAACTGAGCCAGAGCCAAGACTGAAGGTGTAACTATCAACAGGACTAAGCAAGAATGATTGAAAGGAGAGAGGTTTCACTAGCAGCAGTTGGGGTACATATAGCAAACCCTAACTGGGTTGTACTCGCTATAGAGCACCCCACTACAGGCTAGACAATAATAACATTCTGACACACCCCCATAGCCAAAGTGGGGTGTAATCAGTACAATGAGCAGGCATAGCAATAGTTCACAATTATAAGCAAAGCTAGAGGTGATCATAGAGGGCAAGTGAGGAGGAGGAGAAACTGTGAGGGCGAGAAGATGAAAGGCGCCGACTGAAGCTGCAGACACACGGGCAACAGGAGCGGCGCGCACAGTGGCTACCGAGCGCACGAGGGCACCGGACTACGGGAGTATCTGGCTCCGCGGCTACGACGAGCACACACAGGAGCAACGGACCCACAGGCGACTGGCGAAGCAGGCTCGCTGGGCTACCGAAACGCGCGAGGGCATCCGGACTACTGGCGCTGCTGGCGTCACGACGGCTACCTCCACGCAACCTCCCCCGACCGTCCCACGCCCCTCTCACACACCCCCTGCTGACACCCTAGCTCCACTTCCACGGCACCCCCCTTAAACCCTAAACCCTCGGCTCCCACACACCCACCCCCCTCAGCGGCAGCTGCAGCAGTGGGAGACGGAGGAGGAGGAGGAACAGGGAACGGCACTCAGTGGCTTCACCCCCATACCCCTCACCCCCAAACCCTAATTCAGGAGAACGGGCTGTAGGAGGGGTGGGGCGCCAGTAGAAGCACGGGGGACAGTGGGGAGGGCAGGGGCAGCGAGGAACGGGCCGCCCACGGGCCTGGCATAGCCGCCCGAACCGCGCGCAGGCGGCCCGAGCCGCGCGCGGGCCTGGCGCTTCCCGTACGGGCCGCGCGCGGGCCTGGCGCAGCCCGTACGGGCCGCGCGCGGGCCTGGCGCAGCCCGTACGGGCCGCGCGCGGGCCTGGCGCAGCCCGTACGGGCCGCGCGCAGGCCTGGCGCAGCCCGTACGGGCCGCACGCCGGCTGTACGGGCCGCGCGCAGGCCACGACGGGCGACGGGGGGCGACGCGTGGGACCCCGTCGCCCGTCGCAGCGCCTCCCGGGGGCGACGCGCCGAGTGACGGGGCAGAAACCCGCCGCGCGCCTCGGGGCGCACGGCGGGCAGAGAACCGCCGCGCGCCTCGGGGCGCACGGCGGGCAGAAAACCGCCGCGCGCCTCGGGGCGCACGGCGGGCTGAAAACCCTAAGTCAACGCCGCGCACCACGGGGCGCGCGGCGGACAGGGAGTAGCAGTAGCAGCGGAAGCAGGTGGTGGGGCCCACCCACAGGATCGACCCATCTGGATCGTCCTGCTCTGATAGCATGTCAACAGAACTAGGCAAGAATGAATGAAAGGAGAGGGGTTTCACTAGCAGCAGTTGGGGTACATATAGCAAACCCTAACTGGGTTGTACTCGCTATAGAGCACCCCACTACAGGCTAGACAATAATAACATTCTGACAGTAACCCTGTGACGATCGCTGAGTAGCCTGGTCGTCAACCCAAGAAGCGTCTGAGTGCCCAGTGAGAACAACTGGGCTCCCTCCTCCAAGCACGAGCCCCATGCCCGATGTACTGCACAAGTAGCGCAATACCCTCTTTGCAGCATCCCAGTAGACCTTTCGGTGCCTACCAGGAGCCACGTAGCAGGCCAGAAGGCCAAGAGGGTACGCTAAGTCAGGACGAGTGCAAGTCATCAGGTACATGAGGCAACCAACTAGCTCTGGGTAAGGACCACTCGGCTCTACGGACTCATCCGAAGGCAGAGCTGAGAGCGAGTGACCTATGGCCAGAGGAGTGGCCTGTGCTGAGGACCAGGTGAAGCCGAAGCGCTGAAGGACCTGCTACACCATGTGTGACTGAGTCAGTGTGATGGTGCGGTGTGCTCTGTCCCGGGTGATCTGCAAGCCAAGGTAGCTGCGCAGTTCACCCAGGTCTGTGCACGTGTAAACCCTAAACCCAAGAGCCGCAGGTGTAGTCCTCAGTGTGTCGTGCCACTCGCGTGGCGCCTGGCGGAGACCATAGACCGGCCGCCGGAGGCTCCACTGGGTACCAGGAGGAAACGACCCAGTGAAGCCAGGAGGGCGGCGCAGCCAGATCTCCTCGTGCAGGCTGCCCTGCAAGAAAGCTGTGATGAAGTCAAGAGAGTGAAGCTCGTAGTCACGCTGAGCGGCAACGTGCAGCAGTACCCAAAGAGTGGTCATCTTCGGGGTGGGGGAGAAGGTCTGGAAGAAATCGACCCCCTCTCGCTGACTGAAGCCTCGGGCAACGTAACGAGCCTTGAAGACAGGCGGAGAACCCGGCGGCCGCTTCACCCTGAAAATCCACATGCCACTGACGATGTTCGCCCCAGGAGGGGGGACGTCGTCGACGTAAGTGCCAGTGGACTTCCAGGATGCCATCTCTGCGTCCATGGTTGCCTGCCACTGAGAGGAGTAGGGACCCGCGATCGCCTCAGCGTAGGATCGCGGGGTAGGGATGTCTGGTGCATCCGGGTCTCCCTCAGGGGCAAGCAGCATGGCCACGAGATGGGGCGCAGCGGCTGCAAGACACTCAAGGTCCTCGTGCCTGTCCTCAAGGACGTCCGTGCCAAGAGCACACTCACCCCCGACGGACGGAGGACAAACAGACTCAGACTCAGCAACAAGGCTAGCAGCGTAGTCTAGACGACAGGCAGCAGCAAAGTCAACAAGCTCAGCGACTAAGGCAGACGCAGCAGCAGACTCAAACGACGGGTCAGTGACAACAGTGGCTAACAGACGCGTGACAGTAGGGTGCTCAGCACGAAACCGGTCAGACTCAGGGTCCGGAACAGCAGGCAAAGAGGACGCAGGAGGGGACGGCAGAGGAACAGACTGTGGAGCAAAGGAAGGACGACGAACGACAAGGTGCGTGCTGGGGACAGTCGGCGACTGCCATTACCACCGTCGTAACTTCTTACCGTTTTGTCCATCGCATTTGTCTGTGTCCCTCGTCTCCCTGTTTTTAACAGTACTCTCGCTAACAACCAGCTCAACGGCTCCATCCCTGCTAACATTGGCTTGCTGACGAAGTTGGTAGCCGTGTAAGGACTTGTGCTATATGTAACGCGCCTAGGCTTGAGAAAATGGGCGAGCCCCTGTTCCGTTAAATGAATCAAAATGGTTTTGTTTTTTTTTTTCAAGTGTTCGGGTCGAACATGATTGGTTCGTTCGACTAAACTAGTCGAGGCGCGCTGAACAGTACCTCAACCCTTAACCCAAAAATCTAACAATCAGCTCACTGGTTCTATCCCTTCGGAGATTGGCTCGATGACAAAGTTGACTAGACATGAGCAGCCGGCCTGGCCTAGGGATGAGCAGGCGACCCGACTTGACCCGACCCGACCGGACCCGGCCCGACTTGGCCGGGCCAGCTGGGTTCTCGGGTTGGGTCGGTCGGGCCAAATCCCGGGCCAAGATGATGAAGGGCTTGACCCGACCCGGGGCGGGGGTACAGGGTTGGGTAGCGTTGACCCGATCTCAGGTTGGGCCGACCCGAGGCCGGGTCAGATCAGGGAAACCCGCTTCCGCCCACCCCCGTGCAGGTCAATGCCTTCGCCCGCCGATCTGCGGAGATCGGCGATTTTGCCTGCTGATTAGTGCACATCGGCGATTTCGCCAGCCGATAAGCGCAGAACGACGATTTCGCCTGTCGATAAGCGCAGATCGACGATATCGCTAGCATAACTGAGCATATCGTCAATTTTGCTACCGATCTGGAAATTGGGATTTTGCCTGTAGTTTACTCAG